CATTGAACCTGTTAGAGATTTTTGGCCTTGCGAACCCAGTCCCCCTCTCCTGCCATCACCTCCTCCTCCATCAGTTTCCAATTGCCATGGCCTGTATAATATAACGTAGATGGAAGGTGGGTATAATTGGAATTTATGTAGAAACATTTTTCAATAGGAGTTCCTGAGGGGTGTGCGAACATTTAAAAACATAAACATCATTCTACAATTCCATATACATTTTAGGTTGTGATATTCTGAATAAAGCAGTTAGACTGTATGTGAATTGTGGACTCCATATTCTTTTATTGGTCTTTGTACACAGTGATCATGTTATCATTTCTGTCTCTTCTATATGCAGAGAGGATTGTTCCCCGCCAGATTTAGCTGGGTAGGTGATAAATACATTTTCATTTTCAGCCACTCTGGTCACCTGCACCAATGCTCTGCAGTATCATTCCTTCATGCTTTTATTCCTTCTTGTTTTCTCAGTTCTATTAGGTTTTTTTTTATTATTATTTATTTACATATAATATAGTTGCTGCTGCACTCACAACTGCTTCCCAGCCTTGCTACCCAGCTTTCTGCTTGAGCTTTATTTACAGGAGGATGAGCCACATTGACGGAAAGACTATGGCCTATTTCAATAAAAAGTGCCAGTTTTGAGTTCTAATTTGTAAGTTCAGCAGCCCATAGTGTTGCTGCAACAAAGTAAATTGTGATTGGTTGTGCTAAACTATTGGCACTTGTTTTCTTGAGTCACAAAAAAAAAGTAAGTATGTGAACCAGCATTTTATGTACAAACATCACTGTAAGTTTAGAATTTTATCAAAGAGATCCAATGGCTCTATGGAACTGTTAGATCTCATTATTATAGTAATACTGGCACTCTTTTATGAATAGGTCTGCATATAAAGCTTTTTTTCTTATGTTATGATTTGCTATTTGCATGGCAAACCTATTCTTTCTCCAAAGCTCTTGGGACACTGCTAGTGCTATTCTGCTAGTTATGCTTTTTTGAGACAACAGCTTTCTTCTGTATTCAATGAAAAGAAGAAAACGTACCTATGTAGCTTTCTTATGTTTTTATATGTATTGTTATATGTATGTGTTGTGTGTACACGTGGATGTGAGATTGTACAGTACATATATTGTTGAAGGGATTGGAAGACTAGTTTGTCTGTGAAGAATGGATGACCACACTAGATAATCATATGGAACGTCTGTAGTGAATTTTTGTTTGGTTTTCAACCCAAGTATGACCAGCTTTAGAGAAGTATACATTTTCCAGTTAGCAATAGTTTGCTCTGATTTCTCTGTTCTCATTTCCAAACTAGACTATGACTGTATGTGTTTAGATCTTACCAACAGATGCATAAAACTTCCAGCGCATAGGCACTCTTTGAACAATTACCCACATGTATGAGTGTCAGAGCTCTTTATTTTGGCACATACTGGTATGATATCTTTCAGGACAATTGCACTATATCTGTATTCACTTTCTAGTGAGCTCCTAAGCTTTTATGGCCTATTTGACACAGAACAGTCATACTACACTAGGGCATGTAGGGGTTGATAGACTAGAACTGAAGAGTGCAAAATTTAATGCTTTTTTAAATTTGACAGTTGTATGGCACTCCTAGAGGATAGCTATCACTACCCTCTAGGGCTCTGAGAGGAGAGATGCTGTGTTCTCACACAGTATCTCTGCCTGTCCCTCCCCATTGCTGCTCATTCATAGAAGCACATAATACAAAGTGCTCTGTGATTAGGCAGGAGGAGGCTAGAGGTGGGCACAGCAGCTGCATGGGACTCTGCAGCTGAAGAAGCTAAGACCAGAAGGTTGAACATCAGAGCTCCTGAACTATAGCAATAGCTGTCCTTCAGCTCCAGAAACCTGTCAGATGTAAGTTAAAGAGATAAGTATAGGAGGTGCTATGCACCTCATTGGATTTAACTCATATGGGTTGATTTACTAAAACTGGAGAGTGCAAAATCTCGTGCAGATGTGCATGGTAGCCAATAAGCCTCTAACTTCAACTTGTTCAATTAAGTTATGACAAAAAAAGCTGATTGGAAGCTCATTGGTTGGCTGCACCAGATTTTATACTCTCCGGTTTTATTAAATCAACCCCATAATGCTTTCTTATAGGTACTCTTTCCTAAGAGAAACGGAGGCTGTCATTACTGACTTCTTATTCTGCAATTGGTGCTTTCTTGGCAGTCATGCCCATGCCCTCACCCTTGCCATAATATTTTGAGTCACTGATATGGAACAATTATGCAGATAAGAACTTCTGACTTCATTCTGACTTTCCTGATCTGCATACTTGTTTCAGCTCAGTGATTCTGAAAATATTGAGGTCAGAAGTTTGGTCAACCACACAATTAGCATTTTCAGAAAGAGACAAGAAATGACAATCCCCACCTTTCCCCTAGGAAATGATGACTTTAATTACATTTTTGTGAAGCTAGACAACTTAGTACATGCAGAGGGGTTGATTTACTAAAGGAAAATAGGCGTTTCCCTGAGGTTAGTGGATGAGGCAAAGATCTGCTGACTTCCATCATACAATCATATGCAAAAAAAAAACATTAATGTGATTGGTTATCCTTTGCAAAGTGTCTTTTCACCAAATTAAGCCAAGGGAAAATTCCCTTGGAAGTGAAAATTCACTTGCAATGTGAAGTGCCTATTTGCCTTTAGTTATTCTTCCCTTTACTGTTGTATGCTTACAAGTAGTGACTAGGGAAATGATAATGAGAACAGCACTGCAATCCGCTTTCAGCTTTTTGTAGACAAAGTAGTGGAAGACACTTTCTGATTGGTTGTTGTAGGTTACTGTACCTTGTAAAGCATTATTGCGTTATACTTTCTTACTGATTGTGTTGGTGGAATTGCTCATTATCAGTTCTTCGTAAGATAGCTGTTAGTTCTTGCAGCAGTAATCTACTCAGATATATGTACACAGTAATAAAACACATTAGAACATGCAATTGGGAAGAAGCCAGTTAACTCACCATTTAGCCCCGGTTCACATATATGTGGCCATGCGGGCCGCGTTTTGCGCAGGCACGAGAGCCCATTCATTTGTGTGACACGCAAGGAAGAAGTCCCTGCACTTCTTCCAAAAACGCAGCCCGCACAGGAACCTCGGTTCCCAGTACGGTTGCATTTTCCAGTCCGGCCGGTGTGCCATTAGAACTAATGGCACCCGCCCTGCAGGTCCGCATTTCTCTGTGCAGGTGGTGCGTCTGCACGGATTTTCGTGCGGGTCCTCAGCGGTACCACCCACACAGATGTGAATGTAGCATAAAGCCCAAATTTTATTTGAGTTTTTGAATACAGCTAGGAGTTATAACCTTTCTCTGGTTTTTATTGCCATCTGTAACCCTATTTGGATGATTTCTCGTAGCTTCCCGTGTAGTGACTAGGACAAGGAATCACGGGGAATCTCACCAATCACAGCATTTGTTTTTAGCTGAGTGCGGAGGGATTAGAACTTCTATCAGTACTAGTATTGGTGTATGTGTACAGGTTTGGGTGATTCCCTAACTCCTTGTGTGGTCCCTGGGAAAGGAAGTGAGAGTAATCTCCCCAACAGGGGTACAGTCAACAATATTGCCTGATAGAGGTCTTCACTCTTTTCCATTCACCAAAAAGAAAAAGAAAAATCTTAAGCTAGTGCTGGACTTAGTATCCAATGCCGACATACTAGAACATTGATTGGTGGTTATGAGGTACATTCCAAATGTAAAACGTATTCAATAAGGCAGTGCAAGAGCAACGATAGTGTTTATAACGTTCAGTAGACTATTGACAAATCTATTATGTTGTTCTTTACTGGTTGCTACATTTCACAAATTACACTTTGCCTTATTGAATGCACATGTAGAGCAAAAACACATTATATTTGTAGCTAAATCATCAATACATATCATTTTCTATTTTTATTCCTGTTCAGAAGCATATTTGATATGTCTGTCCAAGTTGTCTTAATTTGACTGTGCTTTAAATGTTGAATATTTTTATGTTTTCATCAGAAATCTACAGCTAATTTATTGAATTTTTTAGACCCGAATCATTACTTTTGTATTATCTTTATTTCTTAATTTCAGGTGTTTTTTTCTTTCTCCAGCTCCAGTACAACCTAAATGTAATGCTAGAACATCATGTATCCCATACATGGCCGCAGATTAAATAACTTTTGCGCAGTTCATTATAGTGACTTAATAAGGGCATAACTGAACAAAAAAGTAATAATTCTGTAAGAATGAACGAACAACACAATCATCATAGATGTGTGCTCAGCAAGAACGTTAGCAATCATATTGATATTGCTGATACACTATGACAATATATGTATTTATTTCCAAGTATATTCTGGTGGATTGCTAGCAAATGTCACTTGTCTTACTTGATAGACCATCTGACGCATAAATCTCCACTGGTGACCCAAATACAGGGATAAACACTGATACACTGCTGGCCAGCTAAATACATGTTTCAGTATTTTTTGATTCCTATTGGGAACAAAACATATTTCTTTGTAAATTAACAAAATAAGACTTGGTGTGAAAGTGGGACTATTTAATAGATGCCTCACACAATAAAACACATGTCCATTTTATTGCACTGTGCATGTGCAATGGGGTGCATTCACAAAATGCACAACACAACATTACCCTGCTTTGAAATGGACCTGTGCCTAGATCACGTTGATGTCTTATTTTGCCTGTATGTACACATAAACAGAATTACACAAAAAAAAAAAAAAAGAGAGAAAGAACTTGTGTTAAGGCTTTTACTGCTTCTTATGAATATGTCATTATTTTAATGTCCAAAGTCAAATCACAGCTGCACTTTATGTTAACCGCTTCCTGACCGACCTAGAGCAAAAATACTGCTACAGGGCGGCACGGGTGCACAACATCACACATATATATATATATATATATATATATATATACATGATTTTGCATTACCGGGTAGGGGGCGTGTGCGAGCTGCACGCGCACCCTACCCACACTGCCATTTGCGGCCGCGGCTGTCAATCACCAGGCTCCAGCCAGTAATTACTCCCCGACGCCCAGTGATTTTCAATGATCACCAACGGGAAAGGGGACTGTTTTGTTTACTAATAGTCCTCCTCCCTGTCAGCTCAGGCACACTGCTCTGGATGGCTGTGCACAGCACAGCCATTCAGAGCAGTGTGCTTACAGTGAAAAACACACACACACCGCCTCCTAGAAAACACTCCCTGCACATAGTTAACCCTTTGATCATGTTAACCCCTTTGTGCCCAGTGCCATTAGCACAGTGTCAGTGCTTTTTTTTTTTTAGCACTGATCACTGTATTGGTGTCACTGGGGATGTCAGTGACACCAAGTCAATTCCCCCAGTGTCAGAATGTCCACCGCAGTCCCGCTATAAGTCGTTGATTGCCAGCATTTCTACTAAAAATGAAAAAAAAAAATCACGGTATATATACACTGCCATTTGTAAACACTATAACGTTCACGTAAACCAATTAATTTACACGTATTGGGATTTTTTTTATTAGCAAAGGCATGTAGCAGAATACATTTTGGCATAAATGTATGCCAAATTAGATTTTTTAAATTTTTTTACTAGACATTTTTAATAGCAAAAAGTCAAAAATATAGTTTTTTCTCAAAATAGTCAGTCTTTTTTTTTATAGCGCAAAAAATAAAAAATGCACAGATGATCAAATACCACTGAAAGAAAGCTCAATTCGTGGGAAAAAAAGGACGTAAATTTAATTTGGGGAGCAGCGTTGCACGACTGCGCAATTGTCAGTTAAAGTAATGCAGCGCCTTAACGCAAAAAATGGCCTGGTCAGGAAGGGGGGTAAATCCTCAGGAGGGCAAGTGGTTGCAATGACCAATGATGTTGTATAAAAAAAAAAAAACCAAAGAGATGTGCCATGCACCTTAATTGATAGAGAGACAGGGTGGTGTGGCATGCTGGACCCTGTAAGTATCCCAACCTAATAAATATAGGCAGCTCTCTAGTGTGTCATAAACTTTATCTAGGGCACTAATAAACCCAGGGTGCCCTTGATATGATGGGTGTTAGTTGGGCAACCTCAAACTATAACAGATCAGAGACGGGCAGATTTTAAATACCTGTAGATTTTTATCATGTTTAATTTTCAGATTCATCTACTTTAACCAGTTTAACACACTTTATTTTCTGTTTAAGGTTTCATTATTCTCTCTTATGTTTGGAGTCAATTATTCATTTTATTTACTTAATTGGTTTCAGTTAATCTACTAGAGTCTGGATTTGCTTATTATAAAAATGATGATTCTTATGTGTCTATTATATTGAATGTAGGGTGGAGAAGGGCATAAGACTTGCTATGGAGGATCCAGTCCTAGGTACTATGAGCACCACAAATCATCCCACAAGGGATACAAGGATGCACACAGAGATGGTCAAGGAACCCTGTCCAGGATCTTTAAACTGGTAACTACAGATATAATTATATTGCTAAGCCTGTGAACCTATTGTTTCCATATTGCCTATGTTATAAACAATCATATATTTGTCTTAGTTGCTAACACCAGAGTCAAATTATTTCTCAAGAATGATAGAGTAGATTTCTATTAGGCTATCATGTGTAATTGAGCCCTAATTTTGCCTGATTTATTAAAAAGTAAATCATTAAACAATATGCTGACCAAGTAGAACCACCAGCATAGGTAACAGAATTTTATTTATTTACTGTTTTACTTTTGTTTCGGACAGTTGGTAACTTTAACCAGCCCCACATCTTATATATGAGCAAGCACATATACATCCTATTTAATTGAAATATGAACATATAAAAAATTATCAGCAAAGAAAAAGGGACTGAAGATATTAATCTTTTGTTTAATTATTAAAAAGTACATCATTAAACAATATGCTGACCAAGTAGAACCACGTAGCATAAATTATATAATGTGTTGCGCTCCCAGTGACAATTACCCTTAGTATACAAATAATTCTAAGGTGATGAATAAAAATATACAAAATCAAAATATGAAAGTGATTTAAAAAAATATTAACCACTATAGTGTATATAAGTTTGATGATAATAACCGCAAAACCAATAGATAGTGCATTGTATACTAAAATATATAAATGAAAGGAATAAACATCATAAATAATGAATACTCAAAAATTATATATATACTGCCAAATAATTGTGATATAAATGTCCTTTAAATTCAGTGACTTTGTGCTTGAATAAATCTTGATTTGGTGACTTTTTTGTGAATCTGTGACTTTCTTTGAATCCTCAATTGGTAAAGATGTATGCTCACCTCCTTGTTAGCCTGCAATTAGGCTATACACACTTGTGGTTCACCTCCTATGGAACCTGCTTAGATGGAATTCCTCCCTTATGGATGGTAAGAACGTGGATATGCGTTATCCTCAATTAGCCCATGTGCGTTTTTCCATACGTGGGGACAAATTGCCAGACATAGTGTTTTATCCTTATAAAAAAGGTTTCTCCTTTATTGCTTTCCAACAGGTACACTCACATATATGATATGCGGTATAAGATGAAATTGCTCAACTCTAATGATCCGCCAGCCGTCCGGCCATGCACCTGCCGTCTGTCAGATACTCCAGCTCTCTCCGAGTGACACCGCAGCCCCACCCCTACGCGTTACTCCACTGGTCACGTGGCTTCATCAAGGGGTTGTGATAGGTTCCTATGTGATTGTGAACCTATCACAACCCCCTGATGAAGCCACGTGACCAGTGGCGTAACGCGTAGGGGTGGGGCTGCGGTGTCACTCGGAGAGAGCTGGAGTATCTGACAGACGGCAGGTGCATGGCCGGACGGCTGGCGGATCATTAGAGTTGAGCAATTTCATCTTATACCGCATATCATATATGTGAGTGTACCTGTTGGAAAGCAATAAAGGAGAAACCTTTTTATAAGGATAAAACACTATGTCTGGCAATTTGTCCCCACGTATGGAAAAACGCACATGGGCTAATTGAGGATAACGCATATCCACGTTCTTACCATCCATAAGGGAGGAATTCCATCTAAGCAGGTTCCATAGGAGGTGAACCACAAGTGTGTATAGCCTAATTGCAGGCTAACAAGGAGGGGAGCATACATCTTTACCAATTGAGGATTCAAAGAAAGTCACAGATTCACAAAAAAGTCACCAAATCAAGATTTATTCAAGCACAAAGTCACTGAATTTAAAGGACATTTATATCACAATTATTTGGCAGTATATATATAATTTTTGAGTATTCATTATTTATGATGTTTATTCCTTTCATTTATATATTTTAGTATACAATGCACTATCTATTGGTTTTGCGGTTATTATCATCAAACTTATATACACTATAGTGGTTAATATTTTTTTAAATCACTTTCATATTTTGATTTTGTATATTTTTATTCATCACCTTAGAATTATTTGTATACTAAGGGTAATTGTCACTGGGAGCGCAACACATTATATATTTATGACTTTTTGGACACCTAGGTAGTGTTGTGTTGAGTGTTTGCGATCCTATATATATTTTGGACAGTGAGTGTCCATTCTCTTGATATTGAGAGGTTAATATTGGGTGGATACAGATTGGCTCGCAAGTCACACAGATATTTGATAATTGATTAAGAACCACGTAGCATGCAACATAAATAATTGAATTTTATTTTTTTACTTGTTTTACTTTTGTTGTAGGCCAGTTGGTAACTTTAACCAGCTACACATCTTGTATATGAGCAAGCACCTTTACATCCTATTTAATTGAAATATGAGCATATAAACACATTATCAGCAAAGGAAAAAGGAATGAAGATATTAACCCTTAGTTCCTGATTGCTGTTAATGTTTTAATACATTATTAGTTATAAAAAAAACTGGCTATAAAGGCCCATCTATGCAACATTATCTTTTATGTCTTAGGAGGAGTTGGCACAGCATGGGTAAACCCTATGTGAATGAATTTAATACATTTAGGATTTAGCACAAAATCCACATAGCTGTGAAGTACAAAGCCTCTTAATCGTGTCTGTTTTATGAATAATTCAATTACCCAGTTAGACATCAGGCAAATAACTCTTCTCCACAAAGTTCACCTTTTTCAATATATCTTGGTGTCACATCCTTTAAAAAAATATTAAAACTGAATAGCTAGACCATTATACTGTATACTCTTATCTTGCTAGCAGGATAACATTGTACGTTTTTTGGAAATGTCTTTTTGCTTTGCCTCTGAGTACCTGCCAGGATGATGATAGCTTTCATATGTTTTATATTATTGTTCGATACCATTACTGGTTGGCATTCCTATCATTACTGGTTGGTATTCTCCAGGATTGCTTTTTTTCACGCTATCAAAAATGCCCTGCTGTAAAGTAATGGTGCATTTTATTATAAGGTGTGAACAGCCAAAATTGTAAATGCTGCTTATTCAGCTGTTTTTGTGTTGTAGATGTAAAATCTTTTTTGGTATGTAAACAGAAAATATAATAAAAGCCTTTTAACGAATAGCATATTATTAAATCCCAATGGCAGTTAATTTTTTAATGTGCAATTAAAATATGCCGCAAAACAGTGTTCTGTACATGCCTTAATGATAATTTATATTCAGTTCAGCTCTAGAGACAGCAGAAAGTTCTAAGCTGGACAGCATGCTGTTGGGAGCAGTTTCTCTGCAGCAGTCCAGCACGCTCCTACTGACTCAGACCAATAACTCTGCAATCAGCAAAGCTTTTGCTCAATTTATATTTATTTATTTATTTATCACAGGTACTCAATACTGATTACAGGTCCTCTTATGGACCAGAGAAATATTTACATTTGTATATAATTTGTGATACAGGATATATATATATATATATATATATAATTGTTTAGGGGACACATACTTTCAAAATATACAGAATTTTATATATACTGTATATTTTTATGTATTATCAAGTGAGAAAGAATTAAATATTTTTCCAGTTGATGAGCGGTGGCTTGTTTTTAAAGCGTAGTTCCAGTGAAAATTAAAAAAAAAAAGTCAGCAGCTACAAAAACTGTACCTGTTGACTTTTAAAAAACAGATACGTACCTGTCCCTCAGTCCCACAGTGTTCCCCCCCGTAGCCCATTTCACCGGCTGTCCTGTGTTCCTGCTGCCGATATCTTCAGTGTGGGCACCCAGCTTGCAGCTTCACAGCCGGGTGCTCACTGAGCATGCGCGAGTAGCGCTGCGTTTTGTGAATTGTCCCTAGTCTTCCTAGTCACATGTCCCAGAGGACTATGGGTGGGGGGACGACAACTTCCGCTTCTGATTGCCTAGATGATCGCTGCGGAAGTGGAAGCGGATACCTATCAATTTTGGATACCCGCTCCCCCTCCCCCCCGATACCCAAAGGTGCCAATCCTTAACAGGGAGCGGG